CCTACAGCACCTGGTATTCCCAAGCGGTCACCCATCTAGTTACTTATCAGGCTCAGCGCTGCTTAACTTCGGCGATTGTAATGGAACAGGTGTTCCAACGTGATGTGGACTAAGCCACTACATCTGAGTGAATACAATTTACATTGACTGATTGAATCAAAGAACACCATGCTTCATTGAGTTGATTCGTGTTTCTTGCATGGTAAAGGATTTTAGTCCAAGATCCACTTTTGGAATGTAACTTGTTATCTTCTCAAGCTAACCAATGCATTGATGCATACTTATTGCTTACTTCAATGTGATGCTATAGAAATAAGATTGTTTTAATTATCAGATAAATGGTTCATACCTCACAAGCTCCAGGAAGCACTGAATTCCGTTTCATGTCAGCATCAGATGACCCGTCATGTTTCAGATATGGTATCTTTGGCGTTTTATGTCAAGATGTTTAGTATATATTACCGAAGGCGTTCAGATTAAAATCTGCAAATATGTATATGAGTATGTAAAATATTATCGAAAGCCTTTGTGAGAAATCATTACTATCTCTTTCCTTCTTTTCTTTATTTTTTTCTCTTTTTTGTGTCTGGCTTTTTTATTTAAGCAAATCGTCGTCGTCGTCGTCATCATCATCATCATCATCATCATCATCATCATCATCCTTTCCTCTTACTATTGATATGGCTTATCTGAATTTTATTATCGTTAGCCACGATCCAATAATAATCAATAATCATCTGTTCTTTGTCCATCCATAATTTTAATTTTGTTCTTTTCTCATGTTCGTTTTATTTCTTGCTTACTCTTCATTCCATTTTGTGGTTTGAATCATTCATTTTCTCCAGTTTGTTATTATATATGCAGTTACAGTGGTCCAGATAAACATCAACCTCTATCACGTCGATTATAATTCTCTCAGTTTCATATAAAATCCACGCCAGGTAATTATGTTGTCAAACTTAAAATTTCTCTCGAGTTGGAATTCATTCAACACAGCACTAAACTAAAATATCTAACCCAGTTTGAATTTCTTTGATTCATTTTTATTGATTGATTAGTTTTCTACGGCTTATCAATCCATTGCAAGTTATTTAAAGCCAGAAAATATGTTTGGATTTTTTTTGTATGGGGGTAGATTATAATGGTTTTAGTGATACAAGTCTTACTAATTAATCGATAGCTGGGGTGGGGGAGAAGGATATTTGTGCATTAGTGAATATAACAAACCCGACGGGAATCGAAACTCGGCACACCGATTAACAATTCCAAGACATTATCTCTTGCAAGATCCGCATATCCGAGATTATGGCACCTGGTACTGACCAAGTTCGACGTTGCTTGAGTTCGGTGATCGTAGCGGTTTTCTAAGCTTAGCTTAGATGTGGTACAATGCCGGAAGTATGGGGCACCCAGTGAGAATCAAACTCACTATTCAGTCGTAATGGTTCTAACGAGACAAGCTTGCTAACCATTACACCGCCTCGAGGTGCCCTTTTTCTAAGCTTAGCTTATATGTGGCACAAGGCCGAAAGTATGGGGCACCCAGTGAGGATCGAACTCACTATTCAGTCGTAATGGTTCTAGCGAGACACGCTTGCTAACCATTACACCGCCTCGAGTTGCCCAAATTCGGTGATCGTATGGGAACCCGTGTTTCAACCTGATGGGCCGTAAGCCGATCGTTTGATTTTTACAATCTATTACTTGCATGAATTACACTTATTGGTTGCTAATGTTTTCCTTAAGTAAATTAATGTTAGTAATAAATAAATCATCATTGTCATCATTATCATCATCATTATGGGCATCAACATTCAGCATCATTATCAATAACACTCGTGCGATAGAATGGATCCTGATAGACGTTGTGGTGTTTTGTACATGGTGAATGCGGAGCAGGCGAATATACAAAGGTGCCAAGATCTAGTAGTACGAATAAGAGAAATATAGCAATCAGCAGCAAGTGTTGTCTTCATCTACTTCGGTTTGTGAAATCTCATCACAGAAGCGGGCTTCATTGTGATGTCAGTGTTGTAGCGGTGAAGATATTTAGCGAAGTGTCTTTTGACGATACGGTAGAAGCAACTGCTTGCACCTTCTTGAGCTCTACTTGGAATTCGGGTTTTGCAACACAAACCCATTGTTTCAGTTCAGAGATTCTTATAAAACCACCTAGATACATTCATACTATAAATAAAGGTGTCAAACGGACTATGTTTTTTTTTTTTTTTCGTCGACACAGCATAAGAGGGCCAGCTGAAAAGTTCATAATCTGACCAGGATACTCTCATGAAATATGATTAAATGGGGTTTATTTTTCACCATAGTCTCCTTTGCGGCCTACACACTTCTTCCATCAATGCTTCAGTGCTTCGATCCTATTGGTAAAAAAAAACATCAACAGCAAATATGACGTCGTCATCATTGCGATATTATTTCCCAGACAAATGTTTTTTTCATGTTGGGGGACAGATTATAGTCAGATGGATCCAAATCAGGGGAATACGAAGAGTGATTCACCACTTTAAAGCCACAGTCACGCATAACAATCATTGCAACACAAAGACTGGAGAATTTTCTTAATGAAACAAGACCCCTTTCGTTAGTTTTACTGTGCGTTTGGCCTTGATAGCCTTTCCTACCTCAGCAAGTGGGCATTGTACTCTCCATTGATGGTGTGGCCCTTCTGGATATCCAAAACCCTGACGCCATCACCTTCCCTGCAGCAGAAACGATCTTGAGTTCAGTCGCTAATTCGAAAGCAGCAGCCAATAAAACAATTTGACATTCCTTTCAAACAGGCACTATCCATCAAAAACTATAGGAATATGTATAAAGACATATTAGTTGGTTCCAAAATGTACAATCCCCTTTACAGATACGTCTGCTATAACTGAATGTGATACACTCGCAGTTGAAATGAGTTCTGCAGCAGTAAAGGCACTAGGAAACAGCATTAGGATTAACTCCTTCAGCTGAAAACTAGGTCCAGAACGCGTACCTGTGGCAACCAACATCTTCAGGAAAGTTGTCCTTTGCCTCGGGTTCAGTATCAAAATCTCCGAGTAATTAGGAACAACTAGTACTTGTACTAAGCGGGAAAGATTCATTCACATTTTTAGGATACTGTGAAAGCACTGTACGGACCTGTTCAAAATAACCTGTATCCTATACGAGACAACACTGGAACAACAAACCTGGATTGTAACGCTATCCTGACAAGATGGGCGGGGTTTTTCTATGCCCTGTTGAACATAATGACATCCTTCAATACATAATTTCTGAACAGTCTTCCAACATTTCCCGATCATTGATGTTTCGATCCTACAACGTTTCTTGAAAGGGTACAGGTGGCTTGGATTTACGACAAGGCGTACGGCATCGATGGTATTCCGGCTGAACTCCGGGTATAGCGATTTTCTAAGCGTAGCATAGATGTGGCACAAGGCCCACTGAACTCCAGGTATACGGTGACCACCAGATACACCTTAGCTTTACACGCATTTGTCTTTTAAAGTTTAGAGTACAAAATGACTACCTCAACTGTGGAAGGATTCAAAACATCGTTCCTATCAACAATAGGAGTGTTTAGAAACAGTCGGGGAATTTCTCTGTTATCCGTTTACTCACCCAACTTCTGCAATATGTTGCTGATAATGATTTTCCAAGCGTAGCTTAGATGTGGCACAAGGCCGAAATTAGGGTGCACCCAGTGAGGATCAAACTCACTACTCAGTCGTAATTGTTCTAGTGAACCAAGCTTGCTAACCATTACACCGCCTCGAGGTGCCCCACAGTGATTTTCCAAGCGTAGCTTGGATGTGGCACACGGCCGAAAGTAAGGGGTACCTAGTGAGGATTGAACTCACTGCTCAGTCGTAATTGTTCTAGCGAGACAAGCTTGCTAACCATTACACCACCCAGAGGTGCCCACAATATGTTGTTGATAATCTGTGACTGGAGACACAATGTGAGTTTCATCCTGGATACAGCACGGTCGTCATAGTCATTGTTGTCCCTATCATCCAGGAGAAAGGCCCCAGGCAACACCGGGATTTTTACATCGCCTTCATTGCTTTAAACATGCTGTTTTACACAGCCGACTGAAAGATACTATAAGGAGTTCTACGGATATTCTAATGCCCTTCAACCTTTGTGAGCATCATCAAAGACCTCCATGAAGGAATGTCCGCCCGTTTACTCTATGGCGCTTCAGAGTCCGAATTCAAGTACAATCTAATACTAGCCATGTGTTGTTTGCAGTTTTCATGACATCTGAAATAATATACTCAAAATGCATCCACCTAAAGTACGTTATCTCGGCGATATCGTAATGGTTGCCCATTCAAACTCCGCCGCCCCTGGGGGTTGTCCAAGACCCGCAATGAAAATATTTTAGAGGTCCAACATTTTCTAAAATGATGTTCACCCTGTAGAAGGCACAAGAGCCACTTGAGGACGAGAGTTATAGAGTAAGAGGCACAGTTTATGTAGATACGTGCAGTTGACCCTAGAGTTGAACAGGTTAAGATTGTAGTGATCGGAGAAGCATCCTCTTAGGAGTCGATTCCACGAGTGAAACTTACATTTCACTAATGGAATACAAAAGGAATAAAAGTATTTCAATACAACGTGCGTGGCGTGGCGGGCCTTAGACGGGAATTTTAGAAGTGATGGAACTAAGGAATGTAGTTCGTATGAACACTAAATGGAGGACGGGATTGCAGAGTAGAATGTAATTCGTCACCCACAAGAACGCTGAGACGTATTTTGGACTGGAAAGTGAATTTGGACCTCAACAACTGCTGTATTCCATTAGTTGGGTCTACAGTTAGTTCTGGGCTCAAGATTTATACCAAGAAAACGAAAACGTTGTCACAAATGACAATGCTTCCCTCAAACGACTTTTATGTGGGTATGGCATATTTCCGGAATGTGATCATGTTCATATATCTTAGCACGATGCTTATTAGCAGTCATGACTCAGTAGATGAGATTCAGTTGTCATGTTCTGCAGCACATCATTGGCTTTCCACACAAGTCTTTCCTGATAAGAATCTCATCAATAAAACTAAGTTCACTTTTACCAAAGCAGTGTGCGCTTCAA